AATATACTGACAATGTCAACCAAATGGTAAAGCAAGAGAACAGGACACAAACAAAAATAAAAAGTTATTAATTAGGGGTGAGATTAGGAAGCGCTTTTTTAAAGGGTGGAGTCGTTGTGAAATAAAGTTTGTAAGACCATGGTCTGTACTAAAACATAAATAACTCTTTGTCCATTGAAACTGATTTCAGAAGACCTAATTCTGACAGACTAAAGACTTTAAAGATTTAATCAAATATCTGGAGTGTTCCACCTAACAATTAAAAAATTAACAATAAGTGAGCATTTTTTAACATTTTTACAGAAACGTTCATATGTTTCCTCCTCCTTATTCCCCTGCCACTGTGGATTCAATAACTATTTTTCAACTTCTGGCTAACTGGGAATTGTAGCCTACAGAATACAGCAGTCACAGTCTGGTCTTAAAGCCCAGAAATAAAATCCCTTTACGCACCTCAAACAGTTCAGAGAAAAAAGGAGGGAAAAGATTAGAATCTTTGGAAAGTTAAAACAAAACTCGATACAAAACTGATTTAGATTCTAATTATTCTACAGCCAACTCTGCCAGAAGAATTCCATACAACTTTTCTTGACATTCTTCACTGATCAGGAATTTACTTGCATAGCAACGTTTTGAATCGACACTCATTCTTAACGTTTTTTTTTTAGTGCAGGTTTAAAATGATATGCCCTGACACTCCAGTGCAGCGGAGCTAGGCATTTCATAGCCTGATGGGATTCGTGTTGTCATCTTAACACATACAGTGGTTCCTTGCCATGTCTGAACATATCTTACAAGGGACAACAAAGTAAGTATAATCGCACGGTATATTTCAGATTTAGTTTGTGTGAAATCCAGAAACCCCCTCCCTCAAGGACAGATGAGCACTTTTAAGTGCCTCCAGAATGCGAGTCTGCAAAGTAATGATCATGCCAGAATAAAGAAACAAGGAATCATTTCTCTTGGTCCCACTAGCATCTGCTATAGAACAACTTCTTGAGCTCCTTTGCAATTCTGTTTTGTAAAAGGTTGAGTTTACAGTACCCTATAGTACAGTACAATCCTGAAGTCAAATAAATAAAACAGTAAAGCAATATCCTGACTGGCGTCTTGTCCTGAGTGTCTCCTGCCTTGCGCCCATTGCTTGCTGGGTTGAGCTCCAGCTCCCCTGAGACCCTGTACAGGAAAAAATGGTTTAGAAAACAGATGGATTGAGAATAAAGTAATATCCTATCTGGAAAATATCGATATTGGGTGATTTGCATTTCTAAATATCATATGTTACTGGTGGTATTAAAACCTACAACTTTGCCTGTTATATAATATCAAAACAAGAAATCTGGTTGAAGTAGTAACTGGAGTCCATATGGGCAAGCAGGAAGGCTTAAAATAATCCATGCTGATTTGATAATACATAAAAGCCTTAAGCGCAATAAGGTAACAAATCCTTTGTTTCTTAGTGCCCTGTCAATGATGCTATTGCATTTCGAGTAAGTCTTTCATACTCACGCATGGTGGGCTGCATTTTGTATTAAGTCACTAAGGCCTAAGCGCTAAGGCAATGGTAAGTCATTTTGCAGGTCCTATATCAAAGTTTTCTTCTGGATTTTGTACCTTAGCAAGGTGTTTTATGCATGTATCAATTAACACAGCAGCACAAACATGATGTCACAACCACTCAAGGAATTGTTGGATACTCTTGTTAATCTAGACCCACTGCCAGGGTTAATAAACTGTTGCCTAAGAAAGATGCATTTGCAGTCACTGGTTTTCTTGCAGAAGGCTGAAAAGGATAAAAAATCAGTTAAGATATAACAGATTTTTCAAGGAGGTAATAGGAAGTATTGTATGTAATAGAAAGCACATGAGCAAAAATATGTAAAAACAATCACGTAATGGATTTGTAGGAAAAACACATTTATGTGCAAAATTCCTGTTTCTCTTTTATGTGTGTTCTGGTTAAGCAAGGCCATCAAATGGGAGTTTCTGCCAGTAATGTCCTACATATTGCAGGTAATTCCCTGAGATTCTAACCAGCAGCATCGTACTGAAGCTCTAAGCAAGTTCTTTTTTTCACTTCTTCCACCTCCTCACTTCCTAGAGCTCTTCTTGACAGGGCAGCACTGTCATTGGCTGTGAGCATGGCCCACTTTTTCCCTGGCATAAATTAAGCCAGGAAGCTTAAAGTCTTAAAGGCACATTAAACCATTCTCAGCTTAATTCAGAAATGAAAGGTCTTTAGTTGTTATTATCTGCTTGCTACACTAAGAGGTGTGACCTCAGCTGTTGCTGTTGAATTACCTCAGTTAACCCAACATAAGCACTCCCATCCAAACCCCTCACCCCTGCAGCTACAGTGAAATAAACAAAATGAAAGCTGAATGTAAAAGAGTTTTGAGCAGTGGGACTTGTAGTGCTTTCGCATAAGTCCCATATTGGGCCTATTAGAAGATTTATCCTTATTAAGGAAAGCCTTGTGTCTTTCTAAAGAGTTGGAACACAGAAGAATAAGAAGGATTACAAAGAGAAAAAAACATGTGGCCCGCTTGACTTGTTTGTTTACTACTATCTTACCAATCAAAACATTTTGTCTTTTTATTTCTGAAAGGACCCCAGACTCCCACAATCCTCAGTGTAAAACTATGCTTCCTGTCTTCTGTCCTAAAGGGCTATAATGATCATTTCCACTTGTGTTGCTGCTGATCGTGAAGTACGATCCTTTCAGGATTTATAATCCTTGAATCACGACTCAAATGTTATCTCCTCTCTTCCAATCTAGAAAGATTCCTTAATCTGTCAGAGTGTATCATCCCTTTCAAACTAGGAAGTAGTCCAGTTGTTGTCCATTGTACTGCTTCTAGAGTAGCAAAATGTTTCCTGTAAAGTGATAGCCAAATTGAACACTATATTACCTATGGTAACAAATTCTCATTTGCAGTGATGACCTGGAGACCCATTTAAGCAACACAGTATGTACCAGAGCAATCTGAGTGAAGTGGGATGCTTTTGGGGGCAACAGCAGTCACCTGGGATTTGAACGCAGCTCCTACCACAGCACCATACTGCTCCCTAATGCATTGTACATATGTTGTCATTTACAATCATTTTGTATTCATTTTAAGTTTTCCACACA